TTCATTATATTTGCTATGTCTTAGTAACTTATATTTCAACACAAGGAGTAGTTAATTTTCTTAAATATAAGTACTTGAAAAATTTTAAAGTTTCTAAATCATATGAAACAATTATCATATTTAACATTTTCATATTCAGAAAATAGTGTGCTAGAAGGAATTTTAAGGCATTCTAAATATTAAATTCAGCATTTTTGTTTGTAAAAATTGCATTATTTTGGAATATAATTCACTAAGAAAAAATGGAAAATTGCAGAAGGTATTATTGTTATTATACCTTTCTGAACTTTTTATAATTGGTAAGATATTTTAAGAAATTCATAAACATAATTTGATATCATACTATCACATTTTAATACTCCCACTTCTGGTGTAGTTTCTGTAATACATAAAAAATGAAGCCATCAATATTAAGTTATTATATCTTTTTAGTGTGAATATATATTTATTCAAATTATTTATTAATGAAAAGAGCAATTTGGTAAAAAAAATACTCATAATACTATGTAAATTAGGCCCAAGAAAGCAGTTAAGAAGTAACATGTCATAAATAGTCTTTAATTGTGATGATTATAAGGAAAAAAATTTTAAAGCTAATAAGCTATCAATTATATATTTTAAGTTTCAAAAATGTACAATTTTTAAAAGACTGGATACAATTAAAGTGAAAGATATATTCTTAAATTAAAATTGAGAACTACTGATCTGTGTGAGTAAATTGAATATTGCTTATAGTTTAATTATTCTAGCAGGTTTAGGTGTATTTTTAGATATATAATTAAAGATGTCACCTCAATTGCAAGCATCTAAAAAACAAAACCTGTTAAAATAATTCATCTAAATTTGATATAACCTGTTTATCACAATTTCTATTTCCTAAAAATTAAAAATACAACCATTAGAAAGTGAAAGAGAGAATATTATTTTTTCTTGAAGGAATTTCCCTTTAACTGGGAATTTTGCTTAAAGGTCAGCTTAGTTTGTCAATTTGTAGGATTGTGATGGCAACACTAAAACACAACTAATATCAACCAATTTGTAATCTAATACTCTGCAAATTGTGGCTCCTGGTAAGGTTAAATTGACATGCAAATATTAGACAGACTTACATTTATAAAAACAAAATTTATTAATATTATGGACAGGAAAATTATTTTAAGAATGAAATAAATCTATCAAAAACAGATAAAAACATCGTATTTTTGTAAAAATAATTTCAAATAAATATTAAACTGTAGGATGGTATCCATATATTGGAAATGCTTGGTTTACAATTTTGATTTCTTCTTTTTGTCCTTCTGCATTTTCTGAGTGTTACATAACAAAATGTATTTTCAAAGTTATTAAAAAAAAAAAAAGAATGAAGTGATCACTGTGAGAAGCAGGACAAAGGTGGCTAGTAATTTGTTTTCCTTATTTCAGTCCTGGTGTTCTCTATCCCTACTGCCTCCCTAATCTCCAATCCCAGGTCTGAAAGAAGTGTAGGTATGAGACAGTGCATGTGATGCAGCAAGAATCACAGGGAGAAAAGGTCAGTGAAAAGAGATTCAACAAACTCAACATTAAGAAAGTTCTCTATCATTTAATGAACAGGAAGAAAGATAAATAAGGAGAGTAATGCTAAGTGAGGCTGAAACAGAGTACAGGAGTCGAATCATGCAAGCCGTGAAGTCCCCGTTAAGGATTTTGGAGTTTAATCTTTAGATAGTGCAAAGTCATTTAAGCATTTCGGTTCAGGAGAGTAATATTATCAGAATTATGGTTGCAGTTTTTCAAGATTGTCTAGCTGTCATGTCTAAGGCAGATTGAAAGGGAGGCAGAGAAGATGTGATGAGACCATAGGAGGATATGGTATAGTCCAAGATAGAGATGATGGTGGCTTAGACTAGAATGATGATGAAGGAGACAGAACAATAGGGATGGATTTGAGAAACATCCAGACATTGTAGTCAGTGAGACTTAGTAGTTTATTTGTAATTCGAGGTAACCTACGGATGATTTCAAGGATGTTTTTAGGTTTCTGAGGTGAGCACCTAGGTGATTGGTGTGGCCATTGATTGTGTTAGGTGGAGAAGGAAGATGAAGAGTTTAGTACAGGATTTCTAGAGGCAGAGGTGCCTGTGAGAGCTCTATCAGTAGTGACACGTATAAAGTACTAAAGCTTATAAGACATGTCCAGGCTGGATATAAATATAAGAGCTATTGATGTATGAATGGCCATTAAACCTGGAAAGTGAGTGAGAGCATCAATGCAGATTCAAGATAAAGAAAGAGTTCAATATTGAGAACTCGAGGAATTCAACATTTACTACTTAGGCCCAGAAGGCTTCAGCCACAAAAGAGCCTGCAAAGAGGGGAAAAGAAGGAAGATTAGAAGATTATCATATCACAGAAGGCAAAGGAAAAAAGTGTTTCCAGAAGTCATGGTATAAAAAAAGAGCTGAGAAGTCCAGTGAGAAGACTAGTGAAAAATGGCCATTGGGTTGAGCCTGGAGGCTGTTTTGGTGGAGCGGTGGGCCAGAAGCCAAATTGGAGTAGCGTGGAAAGGGAACAGGGTGTCAGGATATCAAAACAATTAGTGAAGACCGCTCTTGTTTAAATCAAGCTATGACAATGAGGGAAACATTTGAAACCAGGGAGAGTTGTTTATGTTGGCTCTTTATTTTTTAAGACTGACAAAACAAGAGTGAAAAGCTGTTGGAAAAGATATAGCTGAGCTGAAGAAGAAGGTTGAAGAGACAGGAAAAAGAGAAGTTGGATAACGTAAAAAGCCTAAGAATGTGGAATAAGCCCCCAGGAATAGACATTCTCTGTTGTCTCAGGAAGGAAGGAGGTGCGGACAGGTATAGATGCAGAAACCAGAGACAAAAGCATCTGCTAATGATGAGTAGGGAAGGGTAGGTGGAAGAGGTTTGAAAAAAATTGGAGAAGATATGAAATTGAGAAATGGAGTAAATTGCTGGAGACATGAGAGAGCAGTCAGATCAGATAACCTCCTAGGTTGAGTGACGCCAGTCTGCTCGGTTCTACAGCAGCATCCTTGTGTCTGCTGACAAAGTTCCTATCCAGCTTGGTCTAGAGCTGGGCTTAGTGGCAAGTCGCCATAGAGACTTGAGGAGAGGCTCGGAGGAATTTAAGATATTTTAAATAGTGATTAAAAATAACTTATCAAAATATTGAATTTATCATATCTACAATTCCATGAATTATTTTCATAAATAAAACACTCTCAAAACTCCAGCAGTATTTAACTGAAATCAACTACTTAAATATGGCAAAAAACAGATATGAGTTTTCCAGATGCCTTCACGATAACAAATTCTACTCAATGTTTGCGTGCTTCCCAGAAAAAAAACAGTTCAGATACGTTTGATCTCATTTTGCTTATTTACCAAAATACTCCATCAAAAGAATCATTTGATTGTAATAACAGTCAGAGTCCTATTTGACAAAGAGATGTTTGAAAAATTTTATTTTCAACCTTGTTTTTTTCTTCACTAGAAATAAGTATGATTTAATATTTAACATTCTAGTACATTTTTGAGAAATGCAAGGTTTTTGAATACCCTCCCTAACCACAAACAATCTGGCCTCATTACAAGAGAAAAAAAATGACAGATGAACAAGATATTTGAAGTTCGAATGAATCGTGTGAGTCCCAAGCCTGGCTGATTCCAGGTCTGGCTGTGACCCAGGCTCACGGCTAGGAATAGGACTCTGGATTTAGAATGTTACATTAGCGTAGGAGGGCACCTGCACCTAAAATATGTAAACATAATTCAGTTTATTGTATCACGCATGTGTGGCCGAATGCCACTAATGTACTCAGATATATGTGGAGCCATGCGGTCCCCTGGGGAGCAGAAGGGGAGCACAAGAAAGGGGAGCAAGAAGAAGAGAAGCAGAAGCAGAAGCAGAAGCAGAAGCGTGCTCCCCACAATAAAGTTGGTGCCTGCCATTTCATTCTCATGTCAGCCCCTCATGGATTCTTTCAACTGGATGTCTCACCACTGAAACCTTCCCTTCTCGATCAGCTCGGTGCAGACAAATCAGATTTTTTATTTTCATGCCCTCTATTCAGAAGATGCTACAATGGTGGTCTTTTACTAGATGTATGACCTCAGGAAGAGATTCGATTTTTGAAGCCTCAGTGACTTCATGTGTAAAACAAAAATAATAACAGTCGCCACCTCGTTATGTCACTGCGAGTATTAAATAAAATAGTCCTTGGAAAGTGGTGAGCACAGTACCTGGTACACTGCATGCTTTCAGTAAATAGTGGCCACTGTTAATGCTATTAAGATTTTTCAGCTTAATTTTTTAAATTATAAAAAATCATGTTTAAAAACTGGGTTGCATTTTACAAATTTAATAAAATAAGCATAATTCTTTGACAATATAAAAACAAAATAAAATCTATTAAAATAGCAAGGCCAGAGTTATAACAGTTCATGTTTCCTCTTCTAGGTATGGTTCAGTTCAGTTTAACGCAGAAGAATTTTTCAAACGACTACAATATGCCAGGGACCATGGTAGGTCCTGAAGGCTTTCCTCTTCATTTACTTTCACTGCGCTTTCCTGTGGCCTTCTGGCTGTATGTCAAGTCCTCTATGTGTGTTTCCACCTCAGGGCCTTTGCACATGCCTTTCCTTATGTCTAGAATACTCTTTATCATGAAATGGCATGCATTTATATGTTCATTTCCCAATTCTTTCCAAGAGAGTATACATTGTTTGAGATTAAGAACTTTGTTTTACTCACTGCTGTCATTCCCAGTGTCTAGCACATAGTTCAAAGGAATGAATAAACATTTTTTGAAATATTATCGACGTATATATGTATATGTATGTATACATATGCAATCCTTACTAATGTAACTACTCTAGTAGTATAGTTCAACTTTTAAGTGTTATTTTTTAAATTGTTATTATTTTATATATAGTTTTATCTTTAGTCATAGTCTAGTGTTTCAATCTTATATTTTCTCTCTTCTTTAGGTAATGAATGTATCTTGCGAAAATTGGGTAGCGGCAGAGGCTGCCCTGGAAAAATATTACCTCCCCATTTTTTATGGGACGGAGTTCATCGTGGGAGTCCTTGGGAATAGTGCTGTTGTTTTTGGCTACCTCTTCTGTCTGAAGAACTGGAATAGCAGTAACATTTATCTTTTTAACCTCTCTATCTCTGACTTGGCTTTTTTGTGTACCCTTCCCATGCTGATGATGAGTTATGCCTCTGGAAAACTGATTTATGAGGAGGTACTCTGCACCACCAACCGCTATGTGCTTCATGCCAACCTCTACACCAGCATTCTCTTCCTCACTTTTGTCAGCATTGATCGCTACCTGCTCATGAAGCATCCTTTTCGAGAACACCTTCTGCAAAAGAAAGAGTTTGCTGTTTTAATCTCTTTGGCCATTTGGGCTTTAGTGACCTTAGAGCTCCTGCCTATGCTGCTTTTTATAAATCCTGGTACAGCCGACAATGGCACCAAATGTAATGATTACGCGAGTTCTGGGAACCCCAAATTCAGCTTCATTTATAGCCTGTGTCTGACCTTCTTGGGATTTCTCGTTCCTCTTTTTGCGATGTGCTTCTTTTATTTCAAGATTGTTCTCTTCCTAAAGCAGAGGATGAGGCAGCTGGCTGCCTCTTTGCCCCTTGAAAAGCCTCTCAACTTAGTCATCTTGGCAGTTGTGATCTTCTCTGTGCTTTTCACTCCCTACCACGTCATGCGGAATGTAAGGATCGCCTCGCGCCTGGAGAGCTGGAAGCAGCCCCACTGCACTCAGGTCGCCATCAACTCCTTCTACATTGTGACTCGGCCTTTGGCCTTTCTGAACAGTGTCATCAACCCTGTCTTCTATTTCCTTATGGGAGATCACTTCAGGGAGATGTTGTTGAATAAACTGAGGCACCACTTTAAATTCCTTACATCGTTTAGAAGATGAGCTCATGGACTAATGTTTTTCTTCAGGGAAAAGTGAGGTGCACGTGAAACATTGTTTGACCCATGCAGTTCTAGGCTCGTTAGAGTTTGATAAACTCATAGACATAACTCAGAGCTAGTCACAGATGTGGCTCTGACTTAAAGACATGGTGTACCCAAAGTGCATGACAAAAAGAGGATGAGAAGAATTTATTGATCTGTTTATCTACGAATTGAAAGAAGCTGGACTAGCATGAATGTTTGGGCATGTAAATCCAAAATCCTAGGTATTGTAAAACCTTCTTAATCAGTGTAAAAGGAATGGAAGATAGATAAAGCAGCAAGTAATCTGCATTTAATCAATGGTCCGAGTGTAAAATGAAATTGTTTGGGCAACACTCTCTATGTTATTCTTATTCATACGATCCTATAACTTTATGTGAGACTCGAATAAGAAATTAGATACATTATTAAATATTGTTCTTAGAAGTTGTGCTCTTAAGCAAATTTAAAGTAAACAGTAACAATTATGAGCAAGAAAACAATATAACAACTTCAAGGATGTCTGTATATTTCTTTATATTGATCATAAATTGGAGTCAACTTTTAATTTATCAGACCTTTTGTTGTTGTACGGTTTATAGTGCGAATGATCATATTAAATAGAACCTAAAAAGATATTTCAACAAAGAGAAAGAAAGGTTTGAACTGGCTGTTAGGAAATTTAGATGTAAATGATGTTATCAAAATAATAAAGAGAGATACCAAGAACAGTTGCCAAAATATCAGAGTTATAAAACACATAGTGCCTATAAAGAATGCAAAGCAAGACGAAACAACACAAAAGTGAGGACATTATTTTTGTGATGATTGTGCCATCTGGCATTTAATTAGCACAATTTGATCATCAGTATATAGAAATGTATTAAAGTTTATTAGCCTTGCTGCTCTTGATTAAATAGTAAACTTTAAAATATATTAATATCATAAAACCAGCAAGTAAGAGGAAATAAAATGTTAATACCACAATTCGTTGGGTTAATTTTTTCTTTGGAGAGAAAATCGGGGTACCCTTCCCTCCCCGCAGCACTTACACTTTATTTTCTAAGCACTGGGATAATTTACAAGGACAACATCTGGAATGAGACTCCCTTTCATAGAACATTACATAATGCCATTGGAGGAAATGTTCTAAACAAAGTGCACTTCATGAAATTGTAGAATATTAGGAATATTTGTGTGTATATCAATATAGATCATCTCAGGAGAGTTAGACACCATTTCATGCCACACAACACATTGAGGGGAAAAATGGTGCTGCATTAGTCTTTAAAGTTACACAAATATCACATAATAATTCACTATTGCATGCAACAAAATTTGTCTATGCCATATGTCTATGTTCTTTTCCTTGATATCAGTAGCTATAAGGGGTAACATGAAGGATAAAGTAAACATCATAAGCACAGAGACATAAAATTCATTGGATTCACTGTTCTAAGATACTCTAGTAATATATTTTGATATTCCAAAAACCCAAATTGCTCTCAATGCTTTTACACTGCAAAAAACCAAAGAACCCACAAAGGATTTATTTTCTAACCTACTATTAGGTTTTAAAAATTTTTTATGCCCCGCTTTTATTATTAATACTTTTACAATTTTAATGTGATTTTATAACTGCCTGGTAAGAAACTGAAAACAGAATCTCCTGAATTTCCTCATCAGAATAGGCCACAAAAAGGGCTGTAGGAAAGAAGTATTTGCTTATTTCTGCAAATCTAGCAACATGTAATTTAATTGTAATTTGTATTTTATGAGTAATTTTTAATTCGTAAAGATGAAATTAAATTTGTCTGCCCCTACTCCAAAAAGTGGCAGGGTTGGAATCTTTCTAACAGTACAGTGAAATACTTTGTAAAACCATAAACTCTTACATATATCTTGTAACTGAAATGTTAAGCAATGTCATAGCAAATTTCTTAACTCTTCTTGCTCAAATTTGTTATGTGGTAACTTAATCCTTAACAGATGAAACAGACCTGCACTAAAATGATAAGAGCTATTTCATTTGCTTTTTGTACTAGGTGATTGTAAGACTTGCAAACACTAAATAATGAAAATCTTTTCTGGGTTTGAGGTTTTCAAAGAAAATAATGTTTCGTATCTTGTCTTTTAATTGTCTCTTTAGTGTCTGTCTTCAGAATTATTTCTAAACTGTTTGGTCCAATATTTTGCAATCTGGACTCACCTATTCTTTATACATTATCTCCTACCATTGTTGCCACAATCCATAACCTCCAGCCAAAAATTTCTACTTAATTTCATTATATTCAGAACTTTCTTCATTGTGTACACCTGGATGCTTACCCCTGTTCCATCATATTTTAAGGTCTATCAAACCTGTGACTCTTTTTTAAAGCGTTCTTTTATATCTTTTCCTCCTAAAATCTGAAAGTAAATCTATCTACCTCTGGGATTTCAGACTACTTTTATGCACTGTTTTTATAAAACACATTATTTTTTATCTTATAGTTGTTTAGATTCAAGTCAACTTTAAGGTCTGTGAATGGAAAAACGATATTTAGTTTTTTTTATTGCCCTCATAGCACCTAGCAAGGTACATTTTAAATGATTGTTTATTATGAATAAATGTCTTACAGAACAAATTTAAATTCAGTGTGCATTTTGAGTGTGCACAATCAGGCTATTTTTTTTGCCATCACCACTTTTACAAGTAATGCTATTTTATATAAAGAATAAAGTGTATGTGCACGAATATGTGTGTCAGTTGCCATTGCCCTGTCTCTTACATAGTCCTCTCACTTTTGAGCATAGTTTTAATGAATGCTTATAATCTGTGTTTGCTAGTTCCAAATCTAGGTCCTTGCGCAGGTGGTCTCCATTGATTGCCTTTTCTCTTAAGTATAGGTCATAATTTCCTGTTTCTTCATGTCTAATAAATTTGGATCGTATTCTGGATATCATGAATTATATGTGGCGGAGACTTTGTATTTTGTTTGTTCCATTGAAGCGTACTGATATTTTGTTTCACGGCTGAACTCAAACTCCAAATTCTGCAATCTCAGTTTAGTTATTTTAACTTAAACTGTGCTGATTAGAATCTACCCAGCACATCCATAGCTCAGAGGTCAGCTAAGAACTTGAGCAGAGTTTACACATAAGATGTGGGTTCACTTTCTGTAACTCTTCTCCAGGATCTCCCCCCTTCACTTTCAGTTTTCTGACTTCACTCTAAATTTATTTTTTGCTTTCTTATGCTAGATGGACTGCGAGTTCTTTTCTGGATTTTAGCAGCTCTGCAAGGCCTGACAAGGACCAGAAAGTGTGGTTCATTAGAAGTTGCTAGGCCATTACCAGAAGAAGAAACTTTTTCTCCCTTAGAAATAAATAATCTCTAGATAATATAACTTTATATCCTAAACAGCAATTTCCACTTAGCGGTTTCCAAAAATTCTTAAGGGCTTATTTAATCTTGATTATTTTTTGTCTCAGCTTCTGCATTTAGTCACGCTTTCTCCTTTTTTTCTCTGTACCATTATTGGTTTTAAACCTAGCCTCTGTAGTAATTTCCAACAAAAAGGCAGTTAAAAAAAAAAAACACACAAAAATTTTACTGAAGGCAAATATCATTCACTGCCAATTATCTTACCTTTTGCTGGCTCTCATTCCTCCCTCAGCCTAGGTCCCCACTCCCTGCTTCATAAAGGATAATTTTTCTCTACTTTGAGAATTTGACACCAAAAATATTTAAGTACCTCGGTGGTCTTACCGAAGGATTTTTTTAAACAAATGTAGGATTATTCAAAAAAATTTTTTTCCCTCAGATCTAAAGAAAATTTGAATTTCTCCATCTTACAAATTCACTTCTCGTTTTTTAAAATAATATTTAAAATATTTTCTTGGCCATTGTTATAAGAGGGGCACTATGTAGGGGAAAACCCTGTCCTCCTGGGAATTCTCCTCACCAAGCAATTCTCCATGATGCCAGCGGAGTATCCTACAATTTAACTCAACTCTGATACTATCTACCCAGAGAGAGAGTGAGATCCCACGAATTAAGAACTCAGTCTCATTCGACTGCCCCCATCCCACTTCAGACACCAGTCACAAGCAATAGGGCCCAAGGTTGTTGCCCACAACTTCTATCTGACTTGGCTACAAATTGGAGATTCCTGTGACCCCCTCCTCAGGTTTGATAAATTTGCTAGAGGAGATCACAGAACTCGGGCAAACATACTTACATTTACCAGGTTATTACAGAATATAAAAAAGGATACAGATGAACAGCCAGATGAAGAGATACACAGGGTGAGGTCTGGGAGGGACTTGAGTGCAGAAGCTCCTGTTACCCTGGATTTGGGGTGCGTCGTCCTTCTGGTGAGGATGCACTTACTACCTGGAATCTTTCTGAACCCCATACTTTTGGGATTTTTATGGAGGCTTCATCAAGTAGCAAGATCAATTATTGGTTCCAGTTTTGCTCCTCACCCTCTCCAGTAGTGAGTGGAGCTGAAAATGTCAATCTTTTAATCACGGTTTGGTCTTTCTGGTGTCCAGATGCCTTCCAGGAGCCCACACAGAGTCGCCTCAGTAGAACAAAAGATGCTCCTAGTGCTCTTATTGTTTAGGAGTTTACAAAGGTTTTAGGAGCTCTGTGTCAGGTTATGAGGTCAAAGACACACACACACACACACATATACACATATATATGTATATTTATATATATACTTTCTATTTCTCTTATTAGGGAAGGTAGTAGGATAAGGCATACTAAACACAAGAGAGAATTGAAGTGTTTGTGCCACTTTAGTAAAAAAAAATATATATATATGTAATATATATAAAATAAAAATTATATATGTATCTATTATCCCCCCTGCTAAGATGGTAACTTTGAGCCCAGCATAGTTCCTTCTCACTTCTTTCTAGTACCTCTCTTCTGTCAAGTGTTATCAACATGTCATATATTCAGTCAGCCAATTAGGAATAAGAGCTATT